TTCTGGCTTGTGGTGGAGACTGGCCTTCCTTAGTGCCCTTGGCCTGTGGAGGCATCACTCCAGTCTCTGTCCCTGTCCTCCCGTGGCGTCCTCCCTTTCCTGTGTCCAGATTTCCCTCTGCACTGTAAGGACACCAGCCATTGGATTGCAGCCCACCTATTCCAGGGGGACCTCATTTTAACTGGATTATGTCTGCAGAGATCCATTGTCTAAATAAAATCTCACAGGTACTGGGACGCTTGCTCTTTGACTTTCTGTGTTTCTTTTAGGCTAGGCTTCTGAATGGATATAAGAGAAATCAAGTTATTTTTTGTGAATCTTTTATTTTTCCTCTGGTTAATAATTTGCATACACTGTGGTTTTGAGAGAATGTTTTGAAGTGTCTCACTGGAGGTGGCAAAGCCTATATCGGCCTTTTACTTTTGCAAAGTAAAATACAAAATCTTATAGGAAGAAAACATGTAATACTAAGCAAAGCACTTTAAAATATATGTGGAGTGGCCAGGCACTGTGGCTCACACCTGTAACCTCAGCCCTTTGGGGAGGCCAAAGCAGGTGAATTGCTTGAGCCTAGGAGTTTGAGATCAGCCTGGTCAACATGGTGAATCCTTATCTCTACAGAAAATATGCAAATTAGCGTGTAATCCCAGCTACCTGGGAAGCTGACGTGGGAGAATCACCTGAGCCCAGGAGGAGCTGCAGTGAGCTGTGATTGCATCACTGCCTGGGCAGCAGAGCAAGACCGTCTCCAAATAAATAAATTAAATTAAATACATGCAGAGAAGCAAGAGTTAAAAGGGCAGCGATTCCACTGAAAAGTCTGAGTCACCCGTTGGAGGTGGTAGAGCCCTGGATGGATTGATTGGACTCGGCAGAGCTCTGGCATGGCCGTGGGGGAGGGTAGCTTTCTGTGACAGTGTTGTAAAGTAAAGAAAGACTCTTTAGACGACATGGATGTGCCCAGCTGCCTGTTCCTTGGGTGCATTTCTGGGCCGCAGGAGCTGGTGCCAGAGTCTAAGGTAGGTTCTCACTTGCTGGAGAAGGTTGTTTGTTGGTGTGTGTGCGTTTACAGTTCCAAGTAGAATCACAGCCAGAATGAAACCGGAATGAAACCGGGTAGTATTTCAGAAGTACATCAACTTTGTTTTAAAAAGAAATTCAATTTTAGAATACCCATCGCAGTTCAAATTTGTTTCATAAGGAAGTTAACAGTCTTTTGGCTAAGAATTAATGTTTGAATCTGAGCTTAAATCTGAGAGGTTTCCCCTTCCTTCTCTTTGTACTTTTGCTGGGAAAAAAAAAATGGACATTTCAATTATATGTATTATCCTGTTAACTAATTTTTGCTGTTTTTAGAATATGTGGTACCTTTTAGAGGGAGTGCTTTTTCCTTTTATATCTTCATTGGAACTATATAAATACTAAACATAGAATTACGGTTATTTCTCTTAAAAAAATTTTAAAAAAGGTCATGTTTTGTCACCCAGGCTGGAGTGCAGTGGTGCAATCATGGCTCACTGCAGCCTCCGCCTCCTGGGCTCAAGCAATCCTCCTGCCTTGGCCTCCAGAGTAGCTGGGACCACAGGCGCATGCAACCGTGCCCTGCTCTTTTTATTTATTTATTTTGAGATGAGGTTTCACTGTGTTGCCCAGGCTGGTCTCAAACTCCTGGGCTCAAGCAGTCCTGCCTCAGCCTCCCAGAGTGCTGGGAGTACAGGTGTAAGCCACTGTGCTCCAGCTGACGGTTGGTTCTGTGTGCTCCGCTGTGCTGACTCTCAGGCAGGATGTGTTAAAGGAACAGTTCCGAGTTCTGCCCCCTACCGTCTACTGGCCTGATTGGAGCACATCTGCCTGTACCCAGCCTCCGTCATTGCCTGGAGGAGTTCCTTACTTTTGGTGTCACTGAGGAAAGGCAGGCTGCATGTTGTGTAAGTGTGAAGTCAAACAAACCAAGACCTCAAAAAACTAACTGAAAACAGAACAGAACAAAGCGCTGCACATCCGTTCATGAACAGGTAGCAGGTGGACAGCTCCCTGCCTGTGCTCTCGTGCTACTTCGGTTTTTCTAGCATGTTATTCCTGAACCTTTTTATGACGGGGCAATAATGGAACTGGGTTTATTCTTACTATGTATTTAAGTTGTCGGCACCATTGGATTCAGTAAACTATCCGTAATTTGTTTTTCATGTGTGATAGAAAAAATAATATTAACCTTTTCATGATTTTGCTCCTATTTTTCCTGTAGTGGTGTTGGGGAGGAAAAATGTTTCCTCTGAACTCTTAGACTCTGTTCTTAAGGCCTGTGAATTAAATTGACAGAGGACAGAGTAGCAAAAGAAAGGCAGATGTTTATTCACATGCCTGCGTGTGTGTGTGTGTGTGTGTGTGTGTGTGTGTGTGTGTAAGACTTCATGGAAAAATTGTAACCACTCAAGGTGGTTAGAATTTAAGACGTATGTGCCGTCTTACTAGGGAATGGGGAGAAGTGAACTTAAGGCAAAACCAGTGACTTTTAGGAAAGGTGAGCGGGCTTTCAGGAAAATACCTGAGTTTTGTGACGGTGTCTGTCTGGGTGTGGGCTCTCCTTTTTTCTCCAGTTGCCGACAACGCTCAGGAGGGGATTTGTGACAGTTCAGCTCTTTTGAGAGGCTCTGCTTTTAGGTAGAAAACAGAGTTCAGGAAAAAAGCCTACTCTGTAAAGCCCTTAGCTCAAAATCATTTCTGTGCTATTCTGGAGGGAGAATTAAAGGTGGCAGCCCAGGCAGGAGGTTTCTGTGGACAGCAGCACAGGGGAGGTTGCTGGGACCCTCGTGGGATTGTCTTTTGAGCAGAGGTGACTGGCATTGCAGAAACACTTCTGGAAAGGAAATCATGAAGCCCATTGTTTCGTGTCTTTGTTGCCACTGATTAACTGCGTGGCCCTAGGCAAGTCACTTTACTTTACTGAAGTGACTTCCCAGGGTTCCTGATTTCAAAAATGAGGGGTTGGAGTAGAGTACCTATAAACCCCATGCTGTGCTCTTTGCTCCGCATTCACTTTTTTGTGTGTGAGATGGAGTCTCATTCTGTCACCCAGGCCGGAGTGCAGTGGTGCAATTTCGGTTCACTGCAACCTCCACCTCCTGGTTCAAGTGACTCTCCTGCCTCAGCCTCCCAAGTAGCTGGGATTACAGGCACCCGCCACCATACTCAACTAATGTTTTTGTATTTTAGTAGAGACCAGGTTTCACTATGTTGGCCAGGCTGGTCTCGAACTCCTGACCTCAAGTGATCCGCCAGCCTCAGCCTCCCAAAGTGCTGGGATTACAGGCGTGAGTCACCGCCCTGGGCGCTGCATCCACTACTTCATGGCGCATGGCCTCAGTGAGTGTTCAGACCCTCAGGCTAGAAATGGCAAGGCCTGGGGCCCAGGGTCTCCTGCCGCTGGCTGGAGGTGTATCTCCTTTCCTCCACCAGCCACCATGTTGCTTTCTCAGGGAGGGGGCCGGCGGGCTGCAGCACCAGCCCAGTGGGCTCCCAGGGACTCTTGCTGTCTTAGTCTGCCCTCTCTGGTGGTTCTGGTTGTCCTTCTTGTGCCCACGCCTGACTAAGAGCCCTTTTTGTTTGTGTCTGTAGGTAAGGTTCAGGCATAGATGGTGGAGGGCACGCAGGCCTCTGCTCCTGCAGGTCTCAGACGCAGCTGTCCTCTCTTGCCAGGCTTTGAGGGGTCTGCTCAGACATCTGCTGTCTCAGCAGGCCTGAGCCCTGGGGATGTTTACTCCATGGCCCAGCAGTTAAGGACTCCTGCCATAGGGGCTGTCTCACCAGTTGCTTCTCATCCTCCTAAGGGCCTGCTGTTTCTCAGGGAACGCTGCAGAGCCAGATCACAGAAGTCAGGTGATTGACTGAGGTTGCACTAGCTCCTGGGACAGACACAGTGACCAAACACATCTGCCTGATCCCCCCATCATGTGTTTTTCTAGTACATTGTGTTGCCTCTGAAAAAATTAGAAGGTCATACCTCATTGAGGATCATAGACTCTTGAGCTGTGGGATTGTCCAGTCTAAAATCTGAGATCCTTAAATGACTTGTCTCAGCTCACCCCGCTAGTGAGCAGCCTGGTCTGTTTCTCTGAATCCTCATTCAGTGCTCGCCCCCATTAGACCGTTGGCCCGGAGGCTGCTGGTGGGAGCCAGAGGCTCCTCGAGTGTTGGGTCCTGACAGCCCTGGACTTAGTCCTCTGAAAGCACCTTCTATTTCTAAGTAGTGCACATTATTGAAGGGAGTGGATAGAACAGCAGTGGATAGCTTTACCCATTCATTTCTTCTCCTGGCAGGTCTTTGGCCCCCCATGCTATTGTTATATATATTTTGGGGGACACTGATCATAGTTACTAAGTTCATTTTATTAACTCACAATGGTGCTGTTTTTTTTGGGGGGGGGGAGTCTTGCTCTATCACCCAGGCTGGAGTGTGGTGGCCCGATCTCAACGTGCTGCAACTTTTGCCTCCCAGGATCAAGCAATTCTCCTGTCTCACTGTCTCGCTGTCTCAGCCTCCCAAGTAGCTGGGACTACAGGCGTGCACCACCATGCCCAGCTAATTTTTGTACTGCTGGTAGAGATGGGGTTTTGCCATGTTGCCCAGACTGGTCTTGAACTCTTGGCCTCCTAGAGTGCTGGGATTACAGGCATGAGGCACGCAGCCGGCCCGTGCTGATTTTCTTAATGCCTTTTGTTGTAGCTGATCATTGGTCAAACCACTATTTCACTTACGGTTATTGAACAAGAGAAGGCCTAGAACCAGTCTATTGAATCAGCCTAGAATAAAAGGTGAATTTGGTTCTTTTGATTAAGGTTTAATTGTGTCTTCATGTTCTAGAACATAAATAACTGCTGTAATAAATAAATCAAGAAAGCCTGAGGCGGGGTTGTGACAGTTGGAGGGAATGTATGGCTTGTTCTTTTTTTTTAATATCTTCCTGGATATTGAGCTCACCTGACTTGTTCGCGTTTGAAAGGTCGTCCCCGATGGCCCCTGGAGGCGAGGCTCATCACAGGACGAGGACAGGACAGAAGCACAGAGAACCCCCAGGAGGAGGTGGGGCTCCGGGAGATGGCCCAGGCCTCGGCCACTCTCTGACTACAGCCAGCTGGCCAGCCGCAGTTTGTCCATTCCTGAAGACGCGGTTGCCACAGACCCCCAGAAGGAGGACCGTGTGGACAAGGACCCCCAGGCAAGCATCACTTCTGCCAGCCATGAAGACCAGAATGCTCCGGCGGGCGGCCCCAAAGGAGCCAGGAGAAGACGCCCCATTTCTGTGATAGGAGGGGTCAGCTTGTATGGGACCAACCAGACAGAGGAACTGGAGAATCTTCTGACCCAAGTAAGATCTGGTGTGCATCTCCCAAGCCAGCAGAGGCCCTCCAGCTTCCTGCCTCTGCTCTCTCTGCGCACTAAACTGGATCTGCTTTCCCTCTCCTGTCCTCAAGGGCAGCACTACATACTCACCACCTTTTCTTCCTGACTCTGCGAAAACATGCCTCAATTCAAACTAACCATCTGGCGTTTGGATGCCTTTTGCTAATCTTTCTTTCTTTCTTGGAATCTCAAATAATACGTGAGACTCGTTTGCTGTTTGTTGTTGAATAACCTTAGATTCTAACCAGGGAAAGGTAGCAGGGCGTGCTTAGTAAGACTCCTGAAAGAAGTAATTGTTGAAAAAGACAGTATTGTTCATTGTTAAAATGTAAAGAAGAAATAAATAAAATGTAAAGAAGAAATAGTTTTTTAGGAGTTAAGAAAGTATTTTGTTTTCTACCATTTTCTTGCTTTTTTTTTTTTTTGAGTTGTAACTTTGCAGCTATTAATAGTTTGGCATCAATTAAATACTACTGGTTTCTTAGTATATTTCAGTAATTCAATAAATATTTATCCAGATATCCAGGAAGCACTTTGAAAATACAGAACATTTAATTAAAGACTCTGTCTTGGAGAAATGTATACTTACTTGGGGAGACTAATACTCTGGCCATGGTAAATGTTCACAGAACAATGTATGAGTAATATATATGCCCACTTCCATGTTTAAAACCTACTAGCTGATGTCATAAATAACCTATAAAATTATCTTAAAAGGGAAATCTTATACATTACTAGTACTGGATTGTATGTTTACTTGTTTCCTTTAAAACCCTACACAATGCCTTGTTTATAGCAAGCACTCAAAAACTCTTGCCTAATTAAATTGAATTGATTTCTTAAGGTTAAAAAGTTAAGTTGCAGATACCATGAAAATTTTAAGAATCTTTTGTCTGAAGATGCTCCACCGTTGGGAAATGATTCTGCACTGCAGCAAATTGTCACCCATTTTAACTCAAAACTATAGTCCAGGACACTCCACAGCCTTAGGAATTCAGAGCAGCCAAAATGAGGGTACAAAGTAATTTTCTCTATTATAACCAATTTTTTCTACTATAACTGAATTTAGGGAATTGGGTGAGAAAATTGTAAGAAAACCTACGGAATTACATAAGCAGAATATGCATGTAATAAAAGAAAGAAGAAAAAAAGAAATCGAAGGAATGCATACAGGAACTGGGCCTTTGAGTGATAGCTTTAGGGATCGCTGTTAATAGAAAACCAGAAGGGCATTATGGACGATTCTAGAGAGACCTGGGCAACTCTGTGGAAAACCACGTCTTCTTTTAACTAAAGCTCTACCACCGTGCGAGTTTAGGTAAACAAGGCTTGCCTTCAGTTCCGTAAATCCTTATCAAGAGCCCACCTTTGTCAGGCTCTGTAGGAGTCTGCAGGGAGGAATGAAGGAGGCTGAAGAAGGACGTGAGGACAGATGTCCGTCACCCTGGCCGGGTCTGTGGCCCTGTCCTGACCTCCTCCAGAGGCCGCCCCTGGGAAAGCATCTTCTTACCCTGTGACTCGGCCTCCATGTGACAACTCCGCTGCTTCCTACACGTGCCTTCCTCTTCTCAGACGCTTCTCTTTAGTGTGACCTATTGGCATGTTGCAGACAAGTGAGGTGAAACGTGAGGCTGCAGGGTGCGGGCCAGTAAGCTGATGCAGGATTGGTAAAAACTGTAGAATCATGAGTTGCCACTGGGCTTCGGTGCAGCCTGCAGCTCGTGGCAGGATTGGAGAAACCATTTCCCATCTGTGAGTGGCTTCGAGGTGAGAGCGCCCTGCGTGCGAGGTGCTTGCAAGAGCTGCCACTTCCTGGCACCTCCTCACAGACTTTGCTTTCTTTTTGCAGCCGGCCTCCAGGCCGCCCTTGCCTGCTCACCAGGTGCCACCCTACAAGGCTGTGTCGGCCCGGTTCCGGCCCTTCACTTTCTCCCAGAGCACCCCCATTGGGCTGGATCGCGTGGGACGCCGACGGCAGATGAGAGCATCCAACAGTGAGTCTCAGAGTCCCTTCCCTTTCAGAGCTGCTCTGGGCCCATCTGATTGTTTCCAGCTCACCCGAGGCAGCCGGTTCTGTACCTTTGTGCCTCCCCAGGCCAGGGCGCATTTGTTTGGGAGTGAGGACGGCTCATCTCGGGACAGTGGTGCATCATTTGCTGTCTGGGGTAGATGCTCTGTGTGCCAGGCTGGTGGCTCTAAGTTTGAGAATTTTACCCCTTCAGTGGTATCCGCGTACCTAAGTTCCTGCATGTGAAGATCACTAAAGAACCAAGACCCAGGCTAGCAATCTGAGATCAACGCGTCAGCAGGGTTGGTTTCTTCTGAGGGCGGTGAGAGGGAGGGTCTGCTCCAGGCCACTCTCTTAGCGTCTGGTAGCCTCAGTGTTCTTTGGCTTGAAGGAACATTGTCTCATCTCTGCCTTCGTGTTCACATGGCGTTCTTCCGTGCATGTCTGTCTCTATGTTTAGATTTCCCCTTTTTATAAAGGCTTGCTGCCTGCGGACCCAACTTTATGACCTCATCTTAACGTGATTGTCTACCAAGACTATTTCCAAATAAGGTCATACTCATGGGTGCCAAGGGTTAGGACTTCACCATCTTTTGGGGGACACAATTCAATCAAAAAAACATACACCGTATTTTTAACAATATGCAAAGTGTACCCATATGGCAGAAGATTTTAAAAGAATAGCCAAGGCCAGGCGCAGTGGCTCTCGCCTGTAATCCCAGCACTTTGGGAGGCTGAGGCAGGCAGATCACGAGGTCGAGATCAAGACCATCCTGGCCAACATGGTGAAACCCCGTCTCTACTAAAAATACAAAAAATAGCCGGGTGTGGTGGCACGTGCCTGTGGTCCCAGCTACTCGGGAGGCTGAGGCGGAAGAATCTCTTGAACCCGGGAGGCGGAGGTTACAGTGGGCCGAGATTGCGCCACTGCACTCCAGCCTGGTGATAGAGCAAGACTGTGTCTCAAAAAAGAATAGCCAAAAATAAGAATGGCATTGTTAGGGTGGTAGGAATGTGGGGCACTTCTCTTCCCACCCCATACCTGTGTGCACACAGCCTGTTTCCTGCTTTCTGTAACACTGGTTATTGTTGTTGTTTAAAAATGTTGTAATTTTCGGGTTCTTTTGTTGAAAAGCAACAACACGTAACTCTGGCTATCTTAAGCAAAAGGGGAATTTATTGGAGGGGTGCCAGGTGTGCCCAGAATTGATGAGATGGCTGGGGAACCACGCTAGGGAACGGACGGCAGCCGGGGTTTCTCCTGGGAGTGGAGGAGCCGCAGGAAGGTGTGTAATGGAAGACTGGCCGTGGCATGCCCCCAGGAGCTAGTGAGGCCAGCCTGTCCTTCTGTCACCCACCCAGGGGTCCAGGTCCCAGCATGGAGGATTCAGCTGTTAGATCGTAGGTGATGTGTCTACCACCTGGTGGCACTGGAACAGGGAAAAGGGTGGGGCCTCCGGGGACCCTTGCGTTCTATGTGTGAAGGCAGGCCGTGGATTCCCTGCCAACGGAGGCTGCGTAAAACTGAGAGGAGGTTGTGCTCCCAGAAGAACTCCAGATGGTATTAGAAACAGGAATAAATTCTGGGAGGCCCTACCTTTGTTCATTCATTCAGTGACTGTTCAGTGCTTACCACATGTGACAGGAGTGAGCAAACAAAGCCCCTTCAATCACTTCTGTTCTAGTGAGAGGGTAATAAAATAGCAAGTAAGTATTTATCAGGGAAGACAGTACTATAAAGAACAATAAAACAGGATACAGGGCGTTCATTTCCAAAGAGCGCTTGTTCCATGAACCCTCTCTGTCTTCCCTAGAGGAAGACACCCAGAGCATCAGTGGCAGCAGACACCTCCAAGTCTAGGACCTCTGAGGATAACCAGTCTTCCAGTTCCATGCAGTGCCCGCAGCATTGATAACCGGAGGCAGATTTAAGCAACACGTCCTACCAGAATGGCAAGGTGGGGAAAGGAAAGAGAAAGAATTTGGGATGCCGCAGAGAATAAAACAATATAAAAAGTTTACATTTTAGCATTTGAACAGATTCCGTAAGTCAGTACATAGGATGCACCAAGGGACCAGGGACTGCCCTGGAGAAGATGACTGTGGGTAATGTGAGGAGTAGGAGCAGGAGGGGGGACAGCCACCTCTCCAAGGAGGTGACACTGGGGGACAGGTGAGTAAGGGGCAGAGAGGCAGAGGTCCGAGGGAGGAGTCCTAGTGGAAGGAGCATCAGATGCCCAAAAACAGGCAGGAAACAGGATGTGTCTGAGCTTCAGCAAAGAGGCCACAGTGACAGGAGCTCAGGGAGCAAGAGACAGATGAGGAAGTTGCAGGCTGGGAGGTGGGCTGTGGCTGGAAAGGTCTCTGCAGGTCAGGAGGAGGCTGGGCTTGTTCTGAGTGTGCTGTGAAGCCATTGCCAGGAGGAGAATAATATGTTCTGATTGATGCTTAGAGAGGGAGGGCAATTTGTGGGGAGAAAGGAAGAGGAAGGGAGATTGATTTGAAGGCAGTTGCATTAGTCCATGTGAGAAATATGGTAGCGATGACCACAAAAGTCATCCCCATTTTCTGAGGGTGCTCATTTTCCCAGTGTCACGAAGAGACAAAAACGGGCAGTCTTAGTTCTAATCCATTATGGCCAGGACTGCGAACTCCGGAGGAAGTACTTCTCCCTTGGGGGGCACTAGATTCAGTTTCAGCAGGGCACAGCTCCTGGGTGGGAAGAAAACATTTTGCAAGTGTGCTGTTAAGTAATCCTGAGAAGCCGCTTCTGTGTTCGCCCTTGGTTTCCGGCCCTGCCTCTTCTGCTGTGGGTGAGCCTCTCCAAAGTAGTCACTGCTTCAGAGCCTGCATCACATCCAGGGCAGAATGGCAACTTCTGGCTGTGTCTCCAAGCCGCCTCCATAACTTCATTTTCATTTGGTCATTATTGGGCGTGATGGGGTCACCGGCTCCTTCTCTGTAGCGTTCTGGGCCTGGGTGGCGTATGAGATGCTGCGACAGGCTGGGAGCCGTCTGGAGGATCCACAGAGGCCTGACAGGGCAGGAAAATAAATCCAAGCCCAGCATAAGTGGTCCTTCCAGTAGGGACAAATCATCACCCCTCTATTATGAAAAGGCCCCACTGCAATCAGCTTTCCTCAAGGGGCTGTCTGGTTCCTGTAGGGAACCTTATCATTAGCTCTGTTGAGGGAAGGCCCAGGCTTCCTGTGGTTTAGCCCAGGCTTGGCATCCATTCTGCCACCATGGCTTTTTTGTTTCTTGCTTTTGATGAACCCACTGAGCAAGTACCAAGATGACTAGGAAGGAAGACTGACATCCAGCGGCACAGTGGTACCTAATGTCTACACGATGATTAATTAGCCTCTCTTGCAATAAGGATTCATGCAGGATGGACGTCATCTCATGCTCTGAGTGTATTCTGATGTAGCCAATTACACCCCTTCCCCAAACCTATCCCTGCCCATCTTATTCTTTCCACATTCCTCCAGGCTGTTCAGCCAAGCCGTTCAGTTCCTAACAGGAGTGCCCATGAGCTAAATCCCTGCCTTGCCAAAGCCATCTGTTCTACTCAGAAAGGCTTGGGAAAAGTGTTAGTTACATGTGCCACCAAGAGTTTTCCTGTCCTGGGGACACAGTCACCAGGCTGATGGTAGGAGTTCTCTTTGAGAAGCTAGGAAGAAGACTTGTAGTAGGATGCCTACCCTGAGGCTCCCTGGCTCCGTTCCGTCAAGAGGCCTGAGTCTGGGAGTGGAGAGGGGCCCTCCCTTGTCTTCTCTGTCACGGTGGCTCAGGTCGGGCTCTGCTTGCCAGCCCTGGAGAGTGCCTCCCACACAATCTGGTGAAATCTTAGTGGAATCACTCGTCTGTTTTGTTCCTGGGGACCCCAAGATCAGTTAACAGCACAACCGGAGACCTCATGGGTCAAACTATTCCGATGACGAAGCTGGCCCGGCTGTGTGGTATAGTAACTAAGCCCACCTTTCCCACGAGAGATATTCCACCTCCATGGAGGACCAGGTCTGCGTTGCAGTGGAACCATCTCTCAGCAGCATCTCTGGCCTAGAGAGATTAGCAGGACACGAATGATAAAAGCTGCTGTCGCGTAGGAGATGCAGCCCAAGGGTGGTGTGACTCTCGTGATAGACCATGTCTAGCGTTTCCGTCTCAGCCCTGGAACCCCTGCCTTTCCATGCACTGAGGGTTTTAGGTTCACATAACAGTAAAGTGCTGGAACGGCATCGAGCTCAGTAACCCCGTAAATTGGTCTCAGCAAACCAGCTGTAAATGCATCATTTTGAGACACACTGGGGAGATTTTCACATGAACTGAATATCTGGCAACATGAAGGAATTATTTCTTTTTTTTTTTTTTTTTTGAGATGGAGTTTCGCTCTTGTTACCCAGGCTGGAGTGCAATAGCGCGATCTTGGCTCACCGCAACCTCCGCCTCCTGGGCTCAGGCAATTCTCCTGCCTCAGCCTCCTAAGTAGCTGGGATTACAGGCACGCGCCACCACGCCCAGCTAGTTTTTTTGTATTTTTAGTAGAGACGGGGTTTCACCATGTTGACCAGGATGGTCTCGATCTTTCGACCTCGTGATCCACCCGCCTCGGCCTCCCAAAGTGCTGGGATTACAGGCTTGAGCCACCGCGCCCGGCCAGGAATTATTTCTAATTTTGTTAGTTGGAATAATGATAGTGCAGCTGTTTTTCAGTCCTTGTTTGTTATAGATACCGAAATACTTTCTGCATAAAATATGATATGTAAGATTGGTTTTAAAATACTCCAAAAATGTTGGTGGGAAATAGTTGAAACAGTATTGACAAAAGATGGATCATTGTGGGTTTGTGGTATTAATTTATCTGCTTTTGTGTGTATTTGAAATTTTCTGTAGTATCAACTTTTAAATAATAATTAAAGTATATTTCTCCTCCCTGGTCAAGTATTCTCAAAATCTTCCAGAGGTTGATAAATGGATATAAAG